AGTGTTAACCTCACTTTTGACAAGCAATTCCACAATAAACATTCCCAAAATATTTCTAGCCTTTTGCATCTTTCTGATTCACAGAGACAAGACTTAAAAAACAAATGAAGGTTAGCTACCATACAGTTCTGTCAAATGAAGATATGGTATCTTTTTTGCAAAGTTAGCATTTAAGTAAAGGTAAATAAAAGGGAAACGTTTTAGTCTTGTTTTTGTGGTTTGAGTAAAGAGTTTGGAAAGTAAGGCAAAGTAAATTGCAGAATATTAAAATAGAAGAAGAATAACATAAAATGCCCACAACTGTAGAGTGATATCAGAACTGGATAGAGGTCAGGATAGCGCTGAGATGGAGGAACAGTAAATGATGCCGTGTGAAGTCCAATGGCTCCAAACATTGACAAATAGAACTGCAACAAAAACAAAGTTTGTTTATGTCACTTCCATGAAAATAGACCGTTTGCATTATGACGTAACTTTACTACAACTACCAGAGAGCCTTGCACATTTTCATTGTTATTCAGATTTTTAATCCTCTTGGAAATTAATAAAACAATTGGCACTAATTGCATTACAAAAGAAAGTTGGCAAAGCATTCTGGTAGTTGTAGTAAATGACGCCATGATGCATATCGCCTATTAAACAAAATAACTTTTTTAATGGAATATTATTAAAATTATAAATAGTACATAATAATTCATAAGTTCAACACAATGGAAAACCATTCCAAAAGTTTGTAGTCTTCTAAAACATGTCATTAAACATCTCATATATTGTCCAATATCAAGACGTAACTCTTACCAGTGYTTTTAGCTTGAAGCAGGACTTTTCTAGATTGAAAACATAGTATGTTGATGCATAGAATATCAACATCACAGGAACATACGAGAGAAAAAGACCATCTTTCTCCGACAGTGGCCACATACTGCAATCAGATACAAAGAATTCATACTTAAAGGTCACCTACATGTATGTACAGTCAACTCTCGCCTTACGGACATCTCACTACAACGGACACCTCGATATTGCAGACTATAAAATACTGAGTCTCTGGGGAATAATACAAAGAAATGAATGAAAATAACTCTCGTTACTGTGGACTCTTGCTACTGCGGACACTAAATTGCAGTTCCGAGGGTGTCAGTAATAGCGAGAGTTGATTCCAGAGGTTTTCTCTTCTTTTCTAGACACTCACGTTTTTTGTACAAAACTCGTAGTTTTGCTTTTGATTATAAATTTACGATGCTGAAAAAAAGAAAAGTGTCCAGACAAGAAAAGAAAACCTCTCGAACCAGAGTATTAGAGTGACCAAGTTAGTATAAAAAATCTATAAAACCATAAGACAGTATGAAACTAAGGCAATTTAAAAATATAGAAGAATGGATATTATTAACTCAGGAGAGTTATTTTTTGTGGCCTTATATTGTAACATTCAGATGCTTCTGAAATGCTACATATTACACTGTAGAAAGCAGTGAATGATACTGTATAACAGGGATTACAAATCCAACAGTATCTCTATATTTCTGTAATTTCCCCACATAAAATAATGGCAATACTCTGGCCACCCAATGTTCATTTCTCCATATTATATTTTATTTCACCCCACACTAACCTGAATGTTGACATTATAAGGAACCATGTGCAAACCAGGGGTTTGAATGGTAGCAGTAAGCAAACAGGTCTGTTGACACAAGGAGGAAGAGCTGGAAATTAGCACAGCTGCCAAAACTTTACTTTACATTTTGCTTACTAGATATCATAGGTTCACCATATATTTTTCATTGGCCACACTTTTAATTTCTTAATTGAACAAGGCAAATGGACTTTGAGCAAGTGATATAAAATACTGAGTAGTTTTTCTTTAACTTACAGTGCAACAAGGAGAATTGACTTCTCATGGACTTGATAGGAAAAGAGGAAGAAACCAAGAGATGARTTTATCTAGAAAAACATGAAAACATAACATATTAATATCACACTAACACCAGGTTGATAAATTATTTTGCGTTTATAATCATTACTGCAAAGTAACTCTATTTACCAAACAAAGAAGAAAACGGTCAACTGACGGATGACGCATTACATTCAGACATGATGGAAGGACAGCAGTGAGAGTSGTCCACAAACTACAGAAAAGAAAAATAGATGAACTTTTAATATTATGGAAAAATTTATTATCATAATTATAATAAAAGATAATCAACTTGCTATTATTGTGTTTAATTCAGCTTTTAATTGATCATAACGGGACAAGAGAACAGTTTGTAAGACAAAAGAGGGTAGAAAAAGAGTGAACTTTGCAAGATTTGATTCTCACCTTAATTTTATAATTTGATTCTGAGTTAAAAGAGTYTTTACTTTGATAACTATTGAAGCAGCACACCAAAAGTTTGCAACTTTATCCTGTAATATAAACACCAAAATATTAAAGAATTATTAAAAATCTCACATAAATTTAAGTAAGTAATCATTATCATCTGACCTCAAATAATCCTCTTCCAAATGGAAAAAGACGATGTAAAACTTGCAAAGAGTCCTTKGGATCCACCAAAAATGGAAACCAGCTAAACAAGRAAATTGATATATACRTATTCAATCAACAGTGAAACAATGCTATATTTTCATTTGAAGCATTAAATCTTGGATTATTACCACGTAATGAAGGTTCCAATCACTGCAATGCCTAACTTGGAAAGGTGAATTATCGTTCCACTC